CGACTTTATTTTCCTTTTTTTTTTTTTTTTTTTAGCGGTAAAGCAAGGTTTTTAATTTCTATAACTTCTTTGCTGGTTTAAGGTCAGTGTTACAGGCCTGGTGGCTGCTGGTGACGTGTCCCCATGTTTCACAGCTGCTTCCACTTTGCAGGCTTTTCCCTGGGATAAACTGCTGCGTTCCCAGCCCCGAAGGAAAGAGGGGTGGGCTACTGAGCTCTCAGTTGCCTTCCGTGGACTAGGAATTTTGTGTGTCACACGTTCACTCTTCCCTTTCCCCAGCTGCAAAGAAAAGTGTCATTTTGAAGCCACTGCATTGTTTTTTTCCTGGTATTTACTTGGCTACTGGAGCTGAGATCTCTGGCAGGGGCTTTGAGAGTGTAAAATGGGGTTTGTGGCACTGATTTAGATACCAGATTATTAGATATTAGATACCAGAAAGAAATCCTTTGCTGTGAGGGTGATGAGAGCCTGGCCCAGGTTGTCCAGGGAAGCTGTGGCTGCCCCATCCCTGGAGGGGTTCAAGGCCAGGCTGGAGGGGGCTTGGAGCAACCTGGTCTGGTGGGAGGTGTCCCTGCCCAGGGCAGGGGGTTGGAACTCAATGATCTTTAAGGTCCCTTCCATCTCTAACCATTCTGTGACTCTGTGCTGACAGCCCTTTTGCAGACACGTGAGCCCCTTCTCCTGGAGGTTCCTTCCTCTGGGGGTGGTGGTGTGTCCCAGCAGCATCATGGTCAATGCTCTGTAACAGAGACTGATGTCTCCTCATCCTCGTGTCCATGTGTCTGTGTTGGTCCCTCCGTGCTGCTGAGCAATCTTGCCCAAAGTCATCAAAAAAAGGGAGAGTCCTGCTAAAAAGGCCCAAATGCTCTTTATTCTGACAGATGACATCCCACCATGCAGAGGAGGAGAGAAGGAATGGGTTTCCATCTCTCTTTCCTTGCTCCTTTCCTGCCTTTTTTGAAGGTGGTGTGAAATAGCATCAAGTGTTCAATGGTTGGAAGGGCTTAAATGAACTCATGCCCCAGCAGGGTGTTCTGTAGAGCAGTGCTGTGATTGTGCCTGGGTCATCTCAAGGTGCAGCTCTTATCATCCACAGCTACGTTGGGAAAGAATATTTTTTGATCTATTAGCAGAGACAGAGACCTTGGTTCCATCATCATCCATTATTAGTTACTGGCATAAATGAGAACTTTGTGTTCTTGCCTTTTAATTGTTCTTACAGCTTCCATATCTGTTTCTGTAGTGAATATATTTTTCAGTGAGATGTCTGAAGTCACTGATGATCACGTGTGTGAGCAGGAGCTGGAGCTGCCACGGTTGGGTCTACAGCTTTGTCATCCTCGTCTTCCTCCTGGGTCACTCGTGTGGTTGTGACCTAAACGGTGTGTGCTGTGCTGGACAGGTCTTGTTCTGACTTGTGCTTAGAGAAAAGATGGACTTTGAAAAATTCCTTTGGAAGAGGTTAATTCCATCTGATGAAGGCTGTGGAGCCTGAGAGACGTTTGGAAAGCATAATGTTTACGTAAAGGATGTGCCTTGAGATTTTTGTTTTTTCTGGGCTTTAACTATTTTTATCAAGTTTTATTAAACTTTAAACTATTTTAAGTATGATGGTATGGGACTTTTTGACTGGTGTGATAGAATTGTGTGTTTTCTGACCCAATGCATACGCTCAGCTCACGTAATCTCTGCTAGACGGGGTGTGCTACCCAGGAAGCTGAATTATATTTTTTTAGCAGTTTTACTGTCCAAATGCTGCTGAATTTTGGAATCTCATCCTTGTAAACATACTCCAGATGCAATGGGCACTTCAAACCAGAACACACAAATGGATGCATCTGTTCTGGAGCTTAAAGCCAAACGTACTCTTAAGGCGGCAGAATTCAGACCCAGGTTAGGACCAGTTCTGTTGGGAAAAGTAGCAGGAATCCTGAATATTGGTCAAGGGAAGGTTCTGGGGTGGGAAACTTCCCTTTTTTTCATAGCGTTCTTGCCAGAAAGAAAATAATAAAAAGATGGTGAGAAGAATAGGGAGAAGTGGAAGAAGCCTCAGAAGAGAGCAGTCCTAAAGCTGTGGCTGGACGTATAACAGACTGTAAAACCCCAACAGCTGGAGGACACCCTGGAGCCCTTTCCCTCCGTCGCAGGGTGGTGGTTCTGACTGCCCTGCTCTAAGGAACAGTTCACCAACTGTGCCATAAAGGAATTTAATTTTCGTATCAGGACAATAATGTGGCATTTCCATGCCCGACTAGCGCTCCCTTTCTCTCGCAGAAGAGCATTTCTTAGCCTGAAGGGAATCCACAAGTCAATTCACAGATATTTTTTTTTTTTTTTTGCTGTTCTTGCTATATGGAATTAACACCAGAAACTCTGCCTCCGGGAGGAGGGGTTGGTTTTAGTTACCTTTCAAACTCAGACTGCTGCTAGAAGAACATAGTTTTCTTTTAAAAAAAAAAGCTCTTTAGAAATAAAGTAGCTTACATTTGCATTAAGATTATAGTGATTTCTCAGAACCCAGGTGTTTTCACTGCTTCAGTTTCTTGCTCCTTGAGACTAATATAATACCCCTCTAAGGGTATAGTCATTTTGAAAGCAATTAAGAATGTGCTGTTTCACTTGGACTTCATGGGTACCTGTGGTTTGGGGTTTGGTTTGGTTTTTTACTGTCCATTTAGAAACCTGTCAGTGAAACGTCCCTGCGGGTGCTGAGGGGTGGCTGTTAACAGTGAGTTACTGGAAGGATGAACAAAATGGGTCAGAACAAAATATATGCTCTGCTTTGCTGGCAGTGTGGCCCTGGTGGAGCAGGAGTGAAGGATGTTTAATGAGGATGGGAGAGCAAGGGATTACAAAACATAGGCTTGACCTCTCATTTCTTTCCTGATGTCTATTTCTTTCCTGATGTCTATTTCTTTCCTGATGTCTATTTCTTTCCTGATGTCTATTTCTTTCCTGATGTCTATTTCTTTCCTGATGTCTATTTCTTTCCTGATGTCTATTTCTTTCCTGATGTCTATTTCTTTCCTGATGTCTATTTCTTTCCTGATGTCTATTTCTTTCCTGATGTCTATTTCTTTCCTGATGTCTATTTCTTTCCTGATGTCTATTTCTTTCCTGATGTCTATTTCTTTCCTGATGTCTATTTCTTTCCTGATGTCTATTTCTTGCCTTGGATTTCTTACTTTCTGGTTCCTTCCCATTCCTGTGCCAATTCTCAGTGCATTGCTGTGGACACACACCACTCTCTTTGAACTTCATGGTGAAGCTGATTTTTAAAGTAGAAAATTAATTAAAAGTTCACAATCCTAACATTTTGACCCCACACTTATATAGTAGGGATTGCTGTTCTGCCTTTGTACCAGTCTCAGTCAGTTGAATAGCTAATTAAGTGAAGATATTAAGAGCCAAGACTGCCCTTAGAAGGAATGTGGTGGTGAGGAGGAGGATAAGCAGCGGTGTATGGGATGAGCTCTGCTGGAGCACGACTCCTGGAGTTTTTCATCCTGTATCTGATTTGGACATTGCTGAAGAACGAGGAACGACTCACAAAAGCTCTTCAGCCGTGCAAGTGAAGGAGTGGGAGTTGGCACCACTCTGCAGTGACAACGGGCTGAGAAATCCAGGGGCTCTGAGACTAAATGAGGGTCTTTTCTTGCTGTCCAGAAAAAGGCTGGTGGTACTGAACGTGGACAAATGCAGAATGGCTGAGGAGCAAAGGAGGAGGTATGAGTTCCTGTGTATGATGTGAAAGTATTAAGACCAGAGTTTTTCTTTTATCGTATGTGTTGGGAAGGGACATGGACTGACTCTGACGGGGCAACTGCTGGGTGCCAGTGGGCTGCTGGGTAGGAGGAAGAAGGTTATTTCAACTGGAGATGGGGGTAAGTGCAGTAATGGTGCCCTGAGTTACCTTCTTTCAGCCACTGTTCTTGTTACACACATGAGATACTCCAGCAAAGATGGGCCTTAAGTTGATCACAGAACACAGCCCAAGGACCCATTCAGTTAACTGTACCTGCCTGATCAGCAGCATGAAAGGAACTGGGGAAAAATGGGGAATACTGGGAATCTGAAGGATGATGAAGCTTGAGCAGAAGGATTGTAGGAATTGATGGCTGGGTAGGATGTGAAGAAAGGTTTGTCTAGCTTTTCTAAAGGGAGACGGGAAGCTTGTAACAGTGATTAGTACATGGTGAAGAAGCAAGAGTGGTGTGGTCTTCTGTACTAGAACTATGGCATGGCTTGTTCTGAGCTCATCTTTGGTCCTCTGTGAGTCACGCTCAAGTAGGAGACGGGACTGTGGCTGCTCTTGAAAAACTATCTGAACTTGCACGTGGTGTTTCTGAAACAGCTTCTCCATGGGGCAGCAAACGCTGTTGGTGTGTCCTCAAACCTATCTTCATTTTTCCCCTTGTCAAGGGGTTGTTAGAGTGTCTAAGTGGAAACCAGCGAGCTTGGTAGGACAGCAATATGTGAACCAAATCCCGTCTCGTGAGTGAAGAACGTGACTTCCTAAATAAAGCTTCTGCTGGTGTGTAGGTGGTGTGGTGTTTGTTTGGATTGTGGGAGTACCTGAACCTTGGGCTTCTTGTGATTGTGACAGGGTGTGAAAATAAGGCTTATATTAATAAATCAAAACAAACACCTTCTAAACGGTTTGTCTTACCATCTGCACTGGTGTGGAAAGCTGGAGAAGATGAAAACTTGGAGTTTTAAAGCAATCTGCTTCTAAAAATACACTTTAATGTGGACTGTACAAAGGGGAAAGTCCATGTCAGAGGTCTGTCTTGAAGAGGTCTGTGGAGGAGGTCTTTGCCCTGATTTAAAGAGGACTCTATGGTTTCGGTGTCCATCATGCAGGAAAGGTTGCAGGTTGGTAGCTGCTGTGGTGTGTAGGGGAACCTTCTGAAGGAGTGGTCCATGTCCAGCTTTCCAGAGGGTGAATAAGTACTGAGGGTTTGTCTTTTGTCTTCTCTTGGAGCCATAGCACTGAAATACCACATCAAATTTTTGTAGAAGATCTGAGACAGGATTCATTTCTGATGTAGGATGACAGCTTTTTACATGCTTCACCTGTGTGAGAGAGTAAGTAGGCAGCATAAATGTCTTATATCCTCAGTGCTGACAATCTTCCACATACACGTGGATATTTTTATAACCCAAGTTTCTGAAGTTGTATTATGAGATTTTAAGCTGCTGCTTAGATTAAAGACATTTCTAGAATGAAATTGAGAGCCAGAGCTTCATTTTCCCACAATTAAGAATTAAAACAATCTTTTAAGTTTCAAAAATATGATTTAATGGCTTTTTTGGGCCTGACTCATCCCCTTTCTTCAGTCACCCATGCAAAACTGTTAATCTGTATTGCTTTTCTCTTTTTTTTTTTTTTTCCCCCCCCTGTCCTGTCTGCCCAGCTCAGCACTGGTAAGGCTTGGAGCATGAGAATCCGTCTCCGGCGCCCTGTTGGATGTTACTGCAGGGCATCCAAATTCCTTACTTTCTCCTGTAGCCCTCAGCCCTAGCACCAAAGCTTCTCCAACAGCCACATCTGTGTCTTCATGGTCCAGCTCAGCCCAGTTCTCTCTGGTTTCTCTGTACGGGAAACCTGCTGGAGTGATTTGCCCAAAGCTGTTCCAGCAGGCTTTGGAAGAAAGAAGTAAAATTTTGGGGTCAGGTTTGTGCTGGTTTGTCACACCCCACCAGTGACCGAGTGGTGCAGCTCTTACAAAGTTCAGCCAGTAGTTGTGAAGCAATCCAGCACCTGGAACATGGAATATTTTGAGCTGGGATTCTAAAACATGAATGGCTGTTGTCTCTCTGTGAGCTGCTCACCCACCTTTCATAGAGAAGATGGATGAAGGAGCTGTTTAGCCAACTGTGATTCAGATGTCCTGGGGATGCTCCTTAGCCAATTTCAGGTTTGCATGGAATTGTTTGACGTGTAAGTTTCCAACTGGCAGTCAAATAAGGAGTTCTTATAGGCAGAAACTGCTGAAGATTTGTAACCCTTATTTCTTTTCTCTGTCCATCTTGTGTACTGAGAGAGGTCTTGTAGAAAAATATTATGATGAATTTAGTGACTTTATCATACTGAATGCTCACAGAGGGTCAGAATTTTACAGGTTGTCTTCAGTTCTGACTGTTCTTAACTTTGAAACCATGTGGATTTTTTTCCTTTTTTTCATTTTGATAGGGATCTAGCAATTATCCTGTCTGTGAAGTCTTTCACATCTGAGTAGGCTGGGCTACATCTATGGACAGCTAGAGGGGAAAAAAACCAAAGCAAAACCCCATTCCGGGGCAAAAGCACTTGGTGATGCTTTTCATTCTTTAGCACCCCCAAAGTATGTGCATTTATAACACCTTTTGGTGTTTCACTGATGGTGCTTTCTCAACGTGCAGCCCATCTTCCCTCACCGTCCTTCTGTCCCCCTGTGGGAGCTTTGGGAGTGTGTTCCCGTTCCCCGTGGGTGAGTGAGGCTGCTGAGGAGGAGGAGGAGGAGGAAGGGAGAAATTGTAATGCCACCTGGCAGAAGGCGGTGTGGGAGGCAAGCCAGCATGCAGTCCTTTACCATGGCAAATTCTGAATTCTTATTAAAACTGTTCACAACACATTCTGAATAAACGGTGTTAAGTCTGGAGGGTGGTAAGAAGTGAAGGCTGTGCTCTTCATCATCTTCAACCATTTCTCCATCCCTTCCCCAGTCATGGTCCCACCACGGCCGTGCTCCACCCGGGCTGGTCCTGCAGCACATGGGGTTATTTATCCTTCAGAGGAAGGGAATTAACAGCTTTTATTACCTGCTTTACCCCTCCAATCCAACCCCTTCGCTGTGCTGCAGGGGAACAACCGGCAAAGCACGGAGGGGTTAAATGTATCTGAGCTCTCGTTCCATGTGGTGTTAACAGAGATGCGGTTATTTGAAGTTATCAGCTGCGTGTAGGAGAGGAAAAAAACTGATTTCAGGAGTAAAATGTCCAAACTAAAAATGCAAAGAGGTCCCAAGCTGCGGTGTGATCTGGACGAAGGCTTTGGCAGCACCGTCTCCCCAGGGTTTGAGTGTTTTGAGTATGGATGTGCCTTAGCAGAGAAGATGCTGCTTTAGTTTGAGTGTGGCATTATACAAATAAAAAAATCAAACAAGCTCCAATACAGAAAAAAAAAGCCTAGAATAATAGCATAACAGGGAAGATGGCATGGACGGGCTCACCGTAAGCAGGAGTTCTGTGTGTAAGGGATGGACAACCTCTGCTGTTTTAATAGCCAAGCACGAAGAAGCTCGGATCCAGTAAATCCTAATGGGCAAAGCCCATTTATTGATTTTTTTCATATTATTTTTGATTATTTCATATTATTTTTCTGGTGAGAAGAGCATCATTGAGCGTCTTCCTCTACCTTCCCAGTTGTCTCCCAGTTCCAGTGAGAAGAGCATCATTGAGTGTCTTCCTCTACCTTCCCAGTTGTCTCCCAGCCTAAAGGCATCCAGGCCGTTTGAGTATTTTCTGCAAGGAGTTATTTGAGGTTTCTCCGTGGGGAAGCCTGTCCCCCAGCTTGTCACTCCTGAGAGAACGAGCGGGAGGGCAGTTAATTTACTGAAGTTTGCAGTGAAACGCTGAATTTGTGGGATCCTTTGAGGGTCCAGCTTGAGAAGGTATTTAGATCTTTATAGCTGACTTGGCATTATTGAGAGCCACGGGGTCTTCTGCCATTCAGGCAAAATTCTGCTGTGTTATGGAAAGTGTCCCTGCAACTCTCATAAATTTGTTTTTAGAAGTTCTAGTTTCTCCACCCCCCTCCAAAAAATACAGGGAGAGGAAATTTGACTCGGCGTTATTGAGAGCCATGGGGTCTTCTCCTGTTCAGGCAATTCTGCTGTGTTATGGAAAGTACCCCTGCGACTCATAAATATGTTTTTAGAAGTTCTAGTTTCTCTACCCCCCCTCCAAAAAATACAGGGAGAGGAAATGGGAAGATGGCAGTGGGTATTTCGCTTTTCAGTGAAGCCATTAACACAGCAAACTTAATTTTCCGGCTCCCAGTGAATTTCTTATTTTATTTTATTGTATTTTTTTTTCCTTTTCGGACACATCCCCTGCCGAGGGCAGAGCCTGGCGGGTAAGGGAAGGGTTAAACCATCTCTCTCTGGAAGCAGCTGGGCAGTTTACACTCCTTGCTGGGCTGTACAAAAATACTTTTCCTTTGAAGTGCTGGGAGGAGCGGAGCGGGGTAAAACCTGGGATGGGGCTGGAGCCGTGGGGCTCAGCCCGGAGCAGGGCAGGGCTCCTCGCCCTCCCCAGGGCTTCCCTTCGGGAATTCTTCAAATGCTCGCTGGTTCTTGGGGGAAATTCCTGGATTGGGACAGGTTGCGAGAAATAGGGATTAAAAATATCCCTTCCCGTAAAGGCAGGACAAATATAGAGGTCCTGCTGGAGGTTCCCTGCCTGCTTTAGTCAGACACATTCCTGATTCACAAATTAACAAAGGAGGTGGTGGTTTGAAGGATTTCTCACCTTGTGCGTGCAGCAAAGCATCAAAGATTTGGAGTGTTCTGTCAATCCCTTGTTCCAGGTTAACAATCTCAGGCGTCGCAGCCCCTGGCAGGTTTCTGCAGGCTCCTGCTACCCTGGTGATAAAATCAGAGGAAATCCATGTGAACTGTATATTCACCACTGGGCCTGAGTTGGGAGTATTCTTAAACATGTCAGTGTTATACGGATGAGTT